GTAGTATAATTATTAGAATGACTGTTTTGGAAAAAATGAGTAAATTTGAGAGACAAAATGGATTGGAGTCTTATATTTAGGACTGATAAAGCCCAATTTTTATATATTTTATCCCACATTAATTCAGGATTTAAATGATAATTTTGAGCTTAATTAGATTTTTTATGCATAATTGGATTAATTGGTTGATTTTTGGATTTGCATAAAAATTGAGATTTTGGATTAAAAATATGAATATTTTGTGCTTTCCTATTTTTGACTTGGAATTAATTTTTCCTATTTCTTTGAAAACAAGTCTCATATTTTTAGAAAGATTATTTTTAGAAAGTTCTGCACTTTCTTGCCTAATTCTTGTGTAGATTTAATATTTAATTTTTAATTATATTTGGATATAATCTACATTAATGGATGCACTCAAATTCTTGTAGGTCAAGAAAGGGGCACATAGGAAATCCAATGGTGCAAGATTGTTTCTTGGAATCTAAGCACAATCTAATGGCTAATATCAAGTGGGTCAATTAATTACTAATGGGCTTGAGTTTTGGATTCAGAAAAATTTCCTTTTCTCCCATTAGAATAATTTCCTTATTTGAGAGGACAATTCAACGCCTAGGACCCCTCAATCATCCACCGTCATATTATTTTTATCCTTCTCCATTGAACGCAGGAAAAAAGAGACTTGAACGTCAAATCCTCCTCCTTCACCACTACTTCTCTAGTCTCACGGCCTCTCATAATTCCTTGATTCCATTCCATACCGCAACATCCACTCTCATCAATTGCTCCACGCGTGCTTCACCAACCTAAATCATCCACCGTGCGTCACATGCCCGTGAATTGCACCAAAGAGCTTGGAGGAGGAGACAATTTGATGGAAGCTTAAGTTGTCCCCCTACCTTACCTGAAGAGAACTTCTCAATTTTCACTTCTTAATTTTCTTTGCTTTCTGATTAATTCTCTTTATTTATTATTTTTATTTTCCTTCAAAAAACCCCCCCCAAAAATTGCATTGCATTCATTTAGTTTAATTTAATTTTCATTTAGATTTTAGGGCATTTGCATCTTGCATTTACAATTAGAATTTTGCATTTTAGTTTAAATCCAATTTATAGTATTTTTTTTATCACCTGAATTTTTACCTAAAGAAACCCATAAATTGCTCCTTGGAAGTAATGACCTAGGTCGATCCTAAACTACAAATCAATTAGGACCTAGTTTAATTGAGTGCTTTAACAACAGAGGCATCATCAAGGACCAACGTAAAAGTCAAACGGGATCTTATATTAAGGATCCGATGTAGTAATTTTTTTTTTAAATTACGTCTATGAATCTTTCTCAATCATAATCAAGTGAGTGGGGAAGGGAGTATTTTGGTTGCCAGGCCACGTAAAATAAAAAATAAAAAGAAGAAGAAGAAGGAGAATTCCTTCCTTCTCCATAACCAGTCTCGTCTTATACTTGCCATTATGGCAAAGCCGGATCACGCATGGGAACTCCATGCAGTGACAATAACGAGGAGATTTCAAATCCCCAAAGTAGAGTGATTGGCATCAAAAGAATCTGATCCCAACAAAAAGAGATTGCCAGATGGCGAAATCTGAGGAGACTCTCTGAAGTTGAAGCTGGACTGATACAAATGCGCAGCTTTTAGCTGTATTCTTTCTTTTGTTCAATCGTCACTGCTGTGATCGTATTGGGGTGACAAGTTATCATATATGCTCTCCTATATTACCGACACGAAACGATGATCTTTTATCTTCCCCTGCTTTTAAGATATCAACTTTTAGTGGGAGTCTGGTAACCCAACAATACCAAGTTGCATTTTCCTTTATCTCTATTATTTTTCCTGTAAACGAGAGGTTATGAGTTTGACTCCTAACAAAAAAATATAATACTGTTTTTTGTCTATTATATTTATTCTTTTTTTCTTTCAAAATAGTAATTACAGTGGTTGTACATGTTAAAAGTTTATCAAATGATAGTTTTAACAAATGAGCATGATTAATAAGGGTATTTTAGAAAAAATAATACATATTAAGTACAAATAATTAATTTAACTAATTCTTTTAATATCCTCAAATCCGTTACAAGTTGGGAAAAAATATTATGGTGAAATTGTTTCCTTCATCTACTTAAATTAACTTAGATAGCTTTTATATTAAAAATTAGTATAAGGTGTCGAGTAATATAATGTATAGTGAAATTGCTTCCTTTTTTTTGTGGCTGCTTCTAGAGTAGATCGGAGATCACATACTATAATTATTCAAAATTCTATCTAAAAAGATGGATTTCATGAGATTCTGTTAGGACTCACCTGACCATGAAATTACCGTGGGCGACCATAAATATTTTAATTTATTAAATCTTATAGTTTTAGGATACGACAACACTGCAATCCCCCTTCACCCAAAAAAAAAAAAAACACTGCAATCCCCACATAAAAATGGAATCTACGGGTTTGTGGAGTGACGTGGGGCATAAGGCCAAAGTCCATTTTGGATTGGACAGGAAGTGAATCCTAATAAAAGAAGGAATATAAATCACGACGTGTGAAGGAGCTCAGCTGGCCACAATACATCATTTTCATATCTCAGTTTTTTTTTACCAGAATTTTCATATCTCAGTTTATTCCCAATAATATTAACCGTCTCCTATTAAACCTCTAAAGCATATTCCCACCGATCACTCTCTTCCCACCACGTGTCCGTCTTTCATGACCCCATCGGTCACCACATTCGGCGCTCGAGAACACACTCACTGTCCCCGTGGGGACTGTATTCCTGGCTTCCGTTGGATTTAAATGATTTTTTTTGTTAAGACGTAACTCTATTATTTTTCAGATGTAATTTTATTTCTAATCTTTTAGTGATATATTTTGTTCTTAATCTTATTTTTTAGATATAATTTTATCTCTGATCTTTTTTTTAAGGTTTAATTTTGACCTTGATCTTTTTTCTAGTACAATTTTGACCCTTAGTTTTTTTTTAGTGTAATTTTACTCCTCATGTTCAAAATCACACCCAAAAATTAGAGACAAATTGTATTACTAAAAATATTAGGGACAAAATTCCAACTGAGAAATAAGATTATAGTTAAAGTTGCACCCTAACTATTTCTTTTTTTTTTTTTTGCCAACGTATATTTAAATGATTTTGATCATAAAAAAAGAGATATATTTCGAACACCAGTTTAAGATTTTTTTTCCCTTTTCTTTTGCATTCAAAAGCAAAATCAAACCTGTGAAAAATTTAAAATTCCTTGCAACAAGGCAAAACCCATCAGCTGATTCAAACCCATATGAAAACCACTAAAGATAAAATCTTTTTACATCATCTCTAAATTGCTTGCATGCCAAAACCTGTAGCAGAAAGTACTATTTTTTGTTGCTCCTAGAAAACATAAAACTAATATAGGCTTGAGGCTAGTTTTGGGTTGAAGAGTAATACACCCGCCATGAAATGCCTATCCAACTTCATCTTCCATCTGAGGAAGTGAAAGAAGCTCCAAGTCCAAATGGCCTTGGGGGTATGCTAGACTGAGTACTATCTGCACTGGAAACCACGGATGAAGAAGTAGCATCCATGGGCATGGTGGTGGAGCTCATTCCTTCAAACGCCTGCCATTTTTTAAGAGCTTGTGGTAGGTCCATGTCAAGGTCAATCCCACCAATGTCATCAGAACTTGATTCTGCAGGCTTCCAGACCTCCACGAGAGGCGCCAGCATGTTCACGGCATGGCCCATGTCCGGCCTCTGGTGGGGCTCCCTTGCGCAGCAATGGCCGGCCAGCTCCGCAACAGTGTTGATACTGGGTAGAGTTTCTTCATTCACATCTATTTCTGGATCAATGGCCTTTCGGAATGTGTCCTTCGCCAGCATCATTCTTCGAAACCATGTCACAAGGTGGACATTCTCCTCAGATTGGCTGTCATCGAGTGCTTTCCGACCAGTTATCATCTCCATAAGAATCACTCCGAAACTATATACATCAACCTTCGTCGTCACTCGTCCAGTTACTGACCCAATCATTTATGAAAAGAAAAATCACATTTCAGTTTCTCAGCCAATTGAACTATAGCAAGGCATAGACAAGACAACAATATGAAATCATGTGACACGTTTTCAAGAGCAATGGATGGTCTTAAGATAGCTTTTTCAGTGAACGAAGACCCACATCTCCACCATCAATGCAGGAGCAAGATTATAAAGCAATGAGGCTAAGAAACCATAGAATCAACGCAAGAAATAAAATTATTTTTTGAGCCCCGTGAAAATTTCTAACATATGATTGGTCTCTTCTGCTTTCCCAATGCAGGTGTTTCCCTTCCCCCCCGAGGGGGTTGAGAAACATGTTACAGTTGCCGTAGATTTGCAACCAATTTTTGTTCATATAGAATCATTATTTATACTAAGGAGTCTGCAACATACCTGCATATTCTGGTGCCAAATAGCCAAAAGTTCCAGCAAGTCTGGTCTCAAATGAGGCTTTTCCTTCTGGAGCAAGACGAACCAATCCAAAATCAGACACTTTAGCTCGCATATCATCACCAAGCAGGATGTTTGATGGTTTAAGATCCCTGTGAATGAAAGTTTGTTGGGCCAAACCATGAAGATATTCAACTCCTCTAGCAACATCCAAGGCAATGATAAGTCTTCTTGTCCATTCCAGTGGCTTTAACCCTTCATCTTTCCAGTTGAACAAATGCCTGCTCAGGGTTCCTTGAGGCATGTACTCATACACAAGAAGCCTCTCATTTCCATCCAAGCAATACCCCATGAGAGCAACCAAATGCTTATGACGAACTTTAGTGAGTACAGTGATTTCAGCTTTGAATTCACTCAGCCCCTTCTCACCCTCAACTCCAGATTCCATTCTTTTCACCGCAATCTTTGTCCCATCATGCAATTCTCCTTTGTACACGGTGCCAAAACCGCCCTTCCCCAGTATGTTCTCTCTACTGAAGTTGTTGGTAGCTTCTCTTAAAACTTGAATTGAAATTACCATACCACCAGCTTCAACGGCATGAATATCACCAGCTGCATTACTAGTACTGGTAATCCGTCCATCAGTTCCTCCTCCATTAGCGCCGGTTCCAGCACCAACAACACTGATTTTCAAGTGATTTCTGTCTCCAGAATGCCGAGGATGTATCACTACGCCATTCTGGCCTTGTGTTTTGCTTGAACGCTTCCTTTTTCTATTGAACCAAACGAGTCCCCCAACTACCACACCAAGTAAAACAACAAGCCCCACCACAACAATGATAATAATGACTGTTGAATGATGTTTCTTACCATTACCTGCAGTATTATCCGAGTCGGGTCCCGCAGGAGTGGGCCTATCCTTTCCAATATCCGGATTCCCACCTGATTTAAGAATCACATCTTCCCGAAATTTTGGCACCTGACCATATATATGATTATTCGAGATATCCAGCTCTTGCAAAAGAGGCATGCTTGTAAGCTCCCGAGGTATAGTGCCAGTGAGATTATTGTTAGCAAGAAGCAACCTTTTTACAGATGTGAGGCTGGAAAAATTAGGAGAAATAGTCCCAGAAAGGCCCATGCTCTGAAAATTCACAACCGTAATATTTCTACCTGCGCAAACGATCCCTATCCAGTTACCAGCACAAGGATCATTGCCCTTCCAATTTTGAGCAAACTTCAAGGGATAACCCAACGGTTCAACCACAGATAATAAAGCATTCACCAAAGAACTACATGGCTGACCAGGCTTGGTCGTGCAAAACTGATTTATTCCCTGCATATCGGCACGTACTCCTGATTTAAACGCAGGCATCGGTCCTTGAAGATAATTATTAGTTAAATTCACGACTTGCAAGCTAGGAAGAGACATAAGAGACGACGGAACAACACCAGTTAACTGGTTATCCCTCAAACTCACATCCCACAATTGATCATGGTGCGACAGGTCTGGGATAGGACCAGTGAAGGAATTACCATGAACCCAAATCTGCTTCAATGAAGTCATGTTCTGTAACACCGCAAGCGTGCCATTAAGTTTAGAAGTACTCTTTTGTCCATTCACCCACAGTAGCTCTATCGAACTACCTGAGAAGCTCGAAGGTAACCCACCTACGAGTTGATTGAAACACAGGGACAATTTAGTCAAACCTGGGAATGGACCATCTTTGCCGAAAAAATCTGGAATTTCTCCGAAAAAAGAAACATTTTGCGCCGATAATGTTTGTAATGCTACGCACTCCTTGAGTATGTCTGGAATTTGCCACGGAGGAAAAGGGTTATTGTCGATTCTTACTTCTTGTAACGTCGACATGCCCTTGAAGAAATCTGAAGGCATAGAGGTGAAGCCGTTGTCTGAAATGTAAAGGTGTTGCAGGGAACTGGCTAATGACGGAAATGCCCCTGAAAGACTGTTTGATTGGCACTCGAAACGCTGTAATTCTGTGAGCTGGGAGAGTTCTTTTGGCAATGACCCTTGCAGGTTCAAGTTCCCAATCTGAATTGCCGTGACCCGTTTCCCAGAATTGCATTGAACGTGAGACCATTTGCAGACATCCGGGTCGGACCATTGGAGTGAACTCGATCCCTTGATCGAGTTCTTGAGAATGGTCATAACCGTTGCGTCCTGAGACTTGGCCAACAAGACCATGGAAAGAATCAAAAGGATACGACATAGAAAAGAAAGCCCGAAACTCAAGTGAGGTTTCACCATTCTTTTTCCTTTTCAGAGGATATCAACCCAGAAAGTTCGAGAAAACAGAGAAACAGAGCCGTCCTGCTGGAGAGACGCGAGGAAAACAGACTTACACAGTATTCTTGAACAGTTTATCCAATATTTATGTTTTCTGTCCACTCATCCTCCCGTTAAAACCAACCCGGAAATTGCAAGGAAAGCAAAAAAGAAGAGAAACAGAATTGAGCTGTGGTGGGACGCGAAGAAAACAGGGTAATTTTATGGGGACGAAGGGCGGCGCACGCTAATCACAACATTCCATCCGATGAGAAACCCACCAAAAAAAAAAAAATCAGAATCTTGGGACGGAAAAGAGTGAAAAAGCACCGACTTTCGTCTTGGGAAGCGAATAAAATTAGAAGATCAGGCGGCGGAAAATCGGAAATAGAGGAAGCAGAGAGAAGAGAGTAGTAAGGTATAAAACTGTGAATTGTTTGATTATGTTGGGTGGACGGAGAGAAAATCGTGCGTGATTGACGTGTGGGGCCCGCATTCGAAGGATGTTTTATGAAGGATCGATGGCCTGTAACCAAACAATGCATTTGCTTTCGCTCTAAAGTCTACAGAGACAAGGAAACTGTACGTAACGTAGGTGAGTAGGCTAGGCGTAATAAGGCGTGTTGATGGGTGTACATGCACCGTGAGATAAGAATTCATTAATTAATTATTAATTATTAAATTGCAAAACTCGGCCGATTCGGTTTTTTAAAACTTTCTTGTTAGGTTAGGATTTTATCGAATTTACGGCATAGACAAAACGAAAAAGGCAACAACTTTTCTTCCCACTATACAAATATATCTATTTTTAGTTCTTTGCTTCGGCAACGTTTTTGATAGTTTTATCTTTTATTCCTTTTTTCATTATTGTTGATAATAGATACTCCTCCGATCCTTAATATAGGACCTAATTATTAGGTTAGTTTTTATCCTAAATATAAGACCCATTTCTCATATTTATCAATTTTCTCTAAATTACCCCTATGGATACTCCCTCAACCATAATCAAGTAGAAGAGAAAGAGGGGTATTAAGAAAGATGATTATGGTATTTTAAGAAAAACATGTCACGTTTCTTATAATTAACTAATTTACCTAACTTTCTTAATTTAATCAAACTAGTTAAATGGGTCTTATATTAAAGAGCGGAGAAGTAGAATATAGCCGCTGAACTGGTTTTTAGGCCAACAGATCAGATGCAGCCGGGGGCTTTAACTTTATCATAGGTCGAGAAAATTAAATATTTCATAATTTTAACTTTCTTGAATTAAAATGTTATCTATAATTGTGTTTCACATTCAAAATAGTAATGCTCCCTCCAATCGTAAACATAATATCCTTTTAACATAATTTTGTACCACCCGCAATTCTAGTAGTTAATAAAGTTGTATGGTTCAAAATACAGGGAAATTGTATATAATCTAGGTTAAATTTAATAGGAAGAGGAGAAAAAAGAAAAAGGGTATAGCTGGCCTCAATAAAAGTCAACTTCATGGACCGGATTTAATTTTTCTATGATCTGTGACCACTGGTCTTGCGTTGCAAATGCCAATTGGCCTCATCGAGCCATTTGTGGGGGCGGTTTTAATTTGGATTGTTCCATATAGAATTAAAATTAAAGAATTTGTGTATTAAAAAAAGAAAAAAGAATTGTCCAGTTGGCAAAAAGATGAATTTTCCAAATTGAAAGGCGAAAAAAGAAAGGAACAGAATCAAATAAACACGGAGAACTTTACCTGGGTGAGAAGCGAGGTCATTGTGAAAATCTTGTGTGTATTATTTATTCAAGCGTGAAGCCACACTTATCAGATTAAAATAAAAGATTCACAGCTTATGATACCTTAAGAGCACTTAAGAGCATATTAAAGGCCCGCAAATTTACCAACGACGTTGGTTTTAACGGAAAGGATTAATAACTAAGGTTTGAATTCTTATTAAAACAAATATTCATATTTAATACGAGTACTTGATAATATCTTGAATATAACAGTTTCTAATAAAAGAAATTTAAAAAAAAAGTCTGCAAAATTTTTTATATTTGCGTTTACTTATATTTTTATAACCGCCTAATTATTCCCCGTATATAGTACAAATAAGTAATTTTAACGTACATGTAAAAATCTTTATAACAATAAAATAGCCAATGTTCTTATAAAAATAGTGAACACTATCTATTTATCATTTTAAAATTCAATAAATATTTTTTTGTTACTTTCCTTATTTTTATCATGAATAGATAGTATCACGGAGTCAGTAAACCGAAACCTTACAACAAATTAATTACTGTGTTGTAATACCATAAACCAATTTTAAGTAAAATATTGGGTTTGACCGAAACTTGATCCGCACAATGTACGGATGGATTAATGTAGAAGCTACTGGTCCTAATTATAAAAGCCAGTTAACTAATTTGAGGAAATTAAGGAAGTAAGTTGAGTTAGTTATTTGTCCTAAATAGGTGTTATCTTTCCTAAAATATCCTTATTAATCAAGTGTATTGACTAGAACTATCATTATTAGAATGGTTACTTTGAAAAAAAAATATATAAATGTAAAAGACAAAGTGAACTGAGGTCTTATATTTATGATCAAAATAAAAATCATAGAGGATCTTTATATTAAAGATCGGACACAGTAATAAAAGCCATTGGTCAACAACTCCAACAGTGCCTGACATTGGCATTTATTGGAATGTGCGACAATTGTAGGCCCTCGCCGCTTTAACTCCCACACGATAAACCACGTCCGTTTCTTTTTTCTTTTTTTCCATCTAACCATAATCTATTTACTCCTTTTTATTATATCCTCCATTCTTTTTAATGAAACCCATGCTAATTTTTTATATCTTATTAGGTAACTCAACAGTTTTTTTTTTTAAAGTGATAAAGAGTTTAACGTTTGTTCTAGACGGAACAATAGCTTCTTCTTTTTTGCATGGCTGTGTTCAATGAACCAGACAATTGATGAAGGGAGTGAAGAAAATGGTAATTAACCAATTTAATTACTCTTGATAGTTTTTCTAACAGAGGGCCAATTATACGTTAAAAACAAAAGATACATGGAGTCAGAAATAAGCGTGCACGGATATCATGAACAAAACCGCTTGAAAGTCCAATATTTTAGGACCTCCGATTCTTAATATAAAAATTAGATAACTAATTTTAAAAAATTAATAAAATTAGTTAAATTGATTATTTGTCACAAATATATGTTGGTTCCTCCAAAATATTTCCTTGAATCACATGCATTATATGATTGGCTAGTAATTATCTCTTAGTGAAAACTCTTGCAAGTAACAAAGGTACAAAATAGATTAATATATTATATTTATGCGAAAATTCATTTCTCAATCAGTTTTTATATTAAGAATCAGATATAATACTGCGCTGTAAGCATATGTTTGTAATTAATACTGAAGTGTCAATTTCTTCGATTGACATCTTATAAGGAGGGTAAAGTGTTTCGTGGAAGAAAACAGCAAGGTGGCTGATTATAGCTTAATTATAACAGCTGGCACGTTTGTCCGCGTAACAGAAGCAATGCCATTGGAATGTGCCTCACGTTTGATTTTAAAGAACTTGGACGATGTGTGCCATTTATTTCCTACCCCATTTAGTTTTACTTATAGAACACTTTCTTTTAATCGTTGGCGTAAGATCTTTTTTTTTTTTTTTAAATTCCATTCAAATAAATATAACTCCAACTATACTTCTCGGGTGGGAAAAGAAACTTCATTTGTTTACCTTGAAAGAAAATAAAATTGCTTGCAATTTAATTAATTCTAATGAAATCTCTTAATTTATATCAGGTAATTAATAAATCATCGTGACAAATATAATAGGTGGGCATAGAAGACATATAATTTACTATAACACCATAATTCCCGAAACACGTTGAAGTGAAGGGATCAATGACCGGAATGTCAAGCAGGTTGCCCAACTGAAAACTGTGAGCTTAATTAAAAGTTTTGAAAATAAAACGCTGCGCATGCGTGTGAGTTAGTTTCTGACTACAACATCAACCCATTTTGTTTCAATATTAAGACTGATGCAACTGATGAAGTTGAGTCTACCGGAAAGAACTAATTTTTCGTTAATTAAAATTTAAATCTCCACTAAAAAAAATATCACATTTAGTGTCGGATAGTATACCTAGCAAAAGAAAGACACACCAATGCTGGACGGGCTGCGGGGAAGCCCATATCGATTTTTTTGTTTTTAAATGGGATAGGCCCAACATTTTAAAAAAATTGTAGGGAGATAGCTGGGGGGTGGGGGCGAGAGTCATTGGTCAAGAGATCCAATTAGCCGAATTAAATGACTTACGATTCTCAATTATGAGCTGTGTCTGACCTGGCCCTCTGCTTCATTGACCGCGCTCGTTAGTGTTAAGAGAAATAAATATAAATCACACTGTTTCTATTTTAGTATATTATGAGTTGTATTTTACTCCTCCGATCCTTATTATAAGACCCAATTTGACTTTTTATTTGGTCCTAATTATAAGACCCAATCCATTTTGTCTTTTATATTTATGTATTTTTTTCCAAGATAATCCTTTTAATAATGATAGTTTTAGCCAATATTTAATTAGCAAGGATATTTTAGGAATGACAACACTTATTTATTATAAATAACCAACTTAACTTACTTCCTTAATCTCCTCAAATAAGTCAATTGGGTCTTATAATTAGGACCGGAGGAGTATTTTGACTCTCATGATTAGCTGTCTATATATACATGACCAACATTTGAACCCTAAACCTTCGCTCATGCCCCACCTGACCTTTCCATTCTGTTTTATGTTTACATTGATGATTAGCCAAGTTCCTTTTTTCCTGTTTAGAAGTCACAACCCATCATCTATTATTGTGTAAATTGTTCTTTTTTCAAAAACATATATATGTGTGTGTGCATTAAATGATGATAAATTTAAAAATTACTAAATTTTAAAATAGAATTAATCAAATTTTAATTTTTTTTCCATTTCAATACAATATGTCAAAAAATAAAATTGGAGGAATACATTAACTAGATTTCATTACCAGTAGATTGTTTTTCCCACAAAGTAACTGATACCGGAGTCATAGCTAGACTCGTCGTGATCTTTATGTTTTTACCCAAAAACAAAAAAAAACTAGATTCGTAATCTCAATGTACCTCTCTGCCTGCGTGCGCAAGTTCTTTTGAACGTAGACATTAAGGGGGTGTTTGGATGCCCTTAAAATCACTTTTCAGAAGCACTTTTCTGCAAATCGAGGCAATTTTCTCCACATATTTACTTCGTATACTGTAAAAACACTTCTGAAACCATGGTTTTGATCTTATCCAAACACCCCCTAAATATTGCAACAAAATTTTACAAATCCGAAAACCCCGCTGGCCAAAACTAATGGAAAACCCCTTGTGAAAAAGATAAGTATATATAGTGATGCACGAGATATATGGAATTTACATCATGCCCGCCCATTCCCTCCTGAAAAACTGTACATAAGTGGGGATAATGCAGGGCTATGAGGTACATTTACTCCAATTCTAATCACGTCTCACTTATGCTGGTTAGAAATCATCACTGATTTCCTAGTAACCAAGCTGGTTCGCCGTGTGTTGGGATCTGCATTGAAGCACAACTAGCCGGCCAAACCTGGAAAATGCTGGCGGCCAACTCACCTCTTAATATGTCCCCATCTTGGTTTCTTTGCTCAGTTCAACTCAGAAAATGGCTAGGTGTCATGAGTCTGAGATAGGCTTGGATTTGAAGAACTTTGCAACTGCTTGATAGAGATTCTCTTCCTCAAAGGGCTTGGACACGTATCCATCCATACCACATTTCAGGCACTCATCGTAGGTAGCATGAATTACATCAGCTGTCATGGCTAATATTGGCAAATGCCACTCGCTTTCAGAGGCATTTTCTTCATTACCTCCACCATTTGCCTGCTCATTTGCCTTGCTTTCCATCAGCCGGATTCGTCGTGTTGCTTCAAATCTGCAAACCTCAAAATATTTAGATAATGTAACAAAGCCCATGCATATCTAAGGATAAGTTTTCTTGAAAGAAGCGGCAGCAAGTTACAAAAGCACCGTACTAGAACTGATTAGGATTTGATAAGAGGAAATATCATCTTATTACCATTAATGCATGCAACCACCGAGAAAGAAGCTGGACAGCTTGACTTCATAGTTTATGAAATGGCTTAATTTTCTCTCCGTTGTCACTTTTTTCGGTCTTATTTTATCCTGTGATTGTGTGGATCTGCTATGGTGAAAACTCTAGTATACAATTTTTCCTTTCTAAGCTAGGGTTGATTGTATTTTGCAGTATGAGATGTTCAGGTCAGATTTGAAAAAAGTACTGATGTGTGTATAGCCTAATCCTACTCAAGACATCTTGTCAAACGCTCAATTAAATCTAAGAGTAAATATCGAACTACATATTCTCACTTGCCACAGAAGGACAGATTCTCTAATGATAAAAGCTTCGACATAAAGGTTAAAAATAATCTAGCTTACTTATTTAATATAACTGAGGTTTTTTTTTTAAAAAAAAAATACATCTTACTTATTTAATATTATTTACAGATATAATCGATGATTTAAATATAGTTATGAAAGAGCAAACAGTTAAATGCAAGCATAAAAAATTCCATACCCGTCCATTTCCGGCATTTGGATGTCCATGAAGCAGGCATCAAAATTATGAGGCAGTTGAAGCAACTCAAGCGCCGCTTTGCCACTTTCAACACACTTCACATCAGCTCCAAACTTTTTCAATGCACCTGCAGCAACCCTCCGGTTCACCATATTGTCATCAACCACCAAAATTTTCTTTCCACACAGAAGGCCCCGAAGAAAAGCGGAACCATTAGGCATGTCTTTTCCTTGTTGTCTCTTCTTACCCACACCAAGAACCTGCTGAAGACAAGCAGCTACCATACTAGCTCTCAGAGGCTTCATGATCACAGTATCAGCAAAACCAGCAGCCTTAGCTTTATCAAACTCGGCATTACTAATATTGGTTGCAAGAAGGATCAATTTGGGCAACTTAATTGTATGTCCGTTCTGCTTCCAGTCTAGTTGCCTAAGATTGAAGCTTCCATCTTCTCCAGATATCCACGAGTCCTTCTCAACCAAAATTATATCCGGCAGGAACACTCTGCCATACTCAATTAGATTAACTCAGTGAATGAACAAAATAGAAGAGACTCAAACGAGAAGTAATCTGATTGCATGGCACACCTAGTATTTTAGGAACACATGACTAAGCTATCTAAGCGGTGTTTACATAAGTAATGAAATCTGGTGGGACAACAGTGCAATATACAACCAGGTTTTTTTTTTTTTTAAAAAAAAGGTTCTCAGTTTCATGCGGGTTGAAAACCCAACCTAAAAGAATAGCAAAGGATGATGTGAGCTTACCCAGATGTCAATGAACCGTTCTTCCCGCATAAAGCAACAGCCTTGTTAATGTTATTAGCAACTTTAGCTATTATCCCAAGTCTCTTCAGATGGTATCGAGTCACAGCAGCTCTAACAGGTTTTCCATCAACCACTGTGGCTTTCAGTCCTCTAAAACTAGAAGGTAGATCTTCCACATTATGTTTCTTCGCATCACCGATTGAACTTTTCTTATATGTACCAAAATTTGCAGCGAAGGAAAATGTGCTCCCAACCTGGGGTCGGCTTACGAAGCTTATTTGGCCACCCATTAATTCAACCAAACACTTACTGATGCTCAATCCAATACCAGTCCCACCATAGTTTCGAGAGGTTGAGCTGTCTGCCTGCACAAAAGGCATGAAAATCCTATCCTGGGCAGAAAAGGGAATCCCAATACCAGTATCCTCTACGCAGACCATCAGAGTGACTTGCTCAGAAACTTGAATAGTGGTCATCTTTTCACTTGATGCATCAAAGCAAAATTCTTCATCATCAATCAGATGCTTAAAATTATCCCAACAGTTCCTTTCATCAGCTGCTTCACATCCACTGAGAGTTTTGGACTGATAACCACCAGCCATATGCACAATGTCATCTGATCCTCCATTTAGATATGTCTCAGATTTTCCATTCATTGTGGCACTTATATTTTCAGCTAGATGAACCTTAACAAATATGTGCCCTCGTTCAGTGAACTGCAAAATTCTTAGGTTAGATTTCTCATCAAGAAGTGCATTGAAATTTGTAAACAAAGTAATTGCCGCAAAAAGAAAAGAGAATTTAAACATTTCCCTCTTTGTCATGGGACAGTTGAAAGATGGTGGAGGAATGCTTTATTAATAGTTTGAGCTGAAGTTATCAACAGTTTCAGAGATATTTCCTCCACACAGCTTCAAATAAGTAAATGAAAATGTAAATGCAAATAGTGTCAGACAAATGAACTTTGAAAACATTGCTTACTTTGACAGAGTTGCCAACTAGATTGGTTATAATTTGTCTGAACCTCCCAGGATCTCCCATAACAATGTCTGGAACTTTATCAGAGACAAAGACCGCCAACTTTATTTCCACGATAAAATATATCCGTTAAGGTTGGAGAATTGGAGGTTGGGCAAGCATTAGGAACAACAGCATCCAGTGACGAGACCCGGAAAGATGAAACAATAAGAAAGAACTATGTAAGTTGACTGAAGAAAAAGGAAATATAATAAAAAAATTACGTGACTTGGACAATGAAATGTGATCTTCAAGCCACCATACTAAGTCAACAACATGATATACCTCTAAACCTTTGTGTCTAGACTTCTCAGAGAATAAAGAAAGGACATCATCAAGTATGGAACGCAGGTCAAATGGAACTGCTTCTAGCTCTAACTTGCCAGCTTCAATTTTAGCTCGGTCAAGCACCTCATTTATCAATGCTATCAGTGCTTTTCCACACGCTTGAGCAGTCTGAGCATAATCTCGTTGAGTTGAACTCAATTCCGTATCTAGAAGCAGAGCAAGCATTCCTATACAACATTATGAAGTTAATACACACAACTAATGAGAAAGTACAACAGAAGTGCAAGCTACTTCATAATATGGAGAGATAAGAGAACTCTTGGAATCACCTAGGATGCCATTCATTGGTGTTCTAATTTCATGAGAAACAGTCGCTAAAAACTGAAATCAGAAGGCAAAAGGAAAAAAAACAGTTAGAGAGTGAGACCACAAAATAACCCTTGGAAATCATTACGAACCATGCTAATGAAATACCAAGAACTCTACCTGGGATTTGGCAACATCAGCAGCTTCAGCTCGAACTTTTAGTTCCTGCATCTCATGGAAATCATCCTCAACTTTGACAATATGAATTGCAGCACCATACAAAATATATCCCACTAACAAACCAATCACAAAGAATAAAAATGCCGTGGTAAGCGCTGTCCAAGATGTTGGTGCCTTCTGATGATACCTGTTCAATAATACAATGATAAGCATCTGCTGATTAGAAACAAAAAATATTAAAGACCCTCTGCGCATTGCATAAAATTACAAAAGATTATCTAAGGACAGATACACCTACCTACATATCATCTGATGTTTCCTGTAAGGATCTCCAAAATCAAGTTTGCTTTTATGTACAAGAGACTTATCACCTTCTTCATATTGGTTGCCATACATGATTAGCGGGTTAGTAGAGTTTGTGATATCATACACATGAACCAAAATTGCTTGGTTACCAGCAAGCTGCCCAAGTAAATTCTCCACTAGGGATTCAACATCAAAGGACCCTCCAACATATCTGCTTGCAAATAAGCTTACAGTAAACACAAAGCTAACTCATAAACCAAGGCTAATACACTGCGTTAAACAATTTAGCCAAAAAAGTACACCACCAGGATATGTGACCCCAAAGATCCCCCCCGTAAACAACTGCAACAGACAATTCAAACCCCTGAGAACACAGAAATGAATTCAACCGTACAGTCTGCATCAAACTCACTGATAATTATTCTGCCAAAGGTGGCATAGGTGGAAGCAAGACTGGTTGTACTAAGGAAATTATAAAGTGGCAGGGATTGCTATAGACATTGATACAGACAATTGCAATCAAAGTGGCAACATGATCTGGCGGATTATAGAGGCTACAGTACTTCTCACAGTTATTGTTCATGTTCATTAGTAGAATTCCGAGAAATACAATGGCTATAGTTGTTATGGTGTGTTTTGGCAGCTACTGAAACTTGACATCATATAATTATCAGACATACCATATGAGAACAATACCGATTCTCATCCCTACGTCGACCCTTGCATCTAGACAAGGTGACAGAGGAACTATCCAATGTCAATGGTAAAATACATTCTTGATGCAACAACATATGGTTTTAACCAGCGCAGCCATATAATAATAGCCTGCTTGCATACACATCAATGGAGTCATAGTAGTCTATAGAGAAACAAGTATTAGGAGGCAGAAAATAATCCCTGCCGTTGATTCATAATAGCATCATTACTGTAGGATAATTCTCTTCTTACAAATTGATGCCCAAAAAGCCTATGAATGTAGGAGACGTAGATAGCCTGTAAAACTAAAGATTACGATGCTATATAGCCGGTGAAGCCATCCACCAAAAGAACAAGAGAGAGAAAGAGAGTTTCTCCGAACAAACCCAACAACATGCGTATAAAGTTAAATATGGACTTACCCCGCAGTTGCCTCTACACGCTCTTTCATAGTTGGCTCTCGGGAGAGCTTGGCTTTGTACACAGGGAATGTCAACACCACACCAAGATGATGAGAATCCAACAGCCTGAATGGGCTAGTCAGTACAGCTTTCCCAGTGGCCCTAGCCCTCAGAATGTTTTCTCGGTCCTCCTGCACCATGCCAAATACAATTTTCAGAGGCTGTTGCACACAAAATCAGGAGACATATCCTCACTTTCCAGATGTTGTAGTTTACCTCTCCTGACATCATATCAAGAGACTTAAGATAAGAGAGAGTTTCCTGGGCAAATATCACCGGTGCATACTCATCTCGAACTGGGGAAGCCTCTCTTTCCATCGTCTTTATCACCCATCCGTGTTGCCTCTCAAAGTTTTCTCTTTCAGTGTCAACTACCCTTTGTGCATAGGCCACCCCATTGAGTAATGGCCGCTCAAATGCTGTTCTGGCAGTATACTCCGCAAAAGTTTCCTGGTATTTTTTGGGCAATGAGAAGTAATCAACAATAAGAAACATAAAATAATCACGTACCATCAACCATGAACAGATTTGTGACTTAAATAGATACTTCTCCAGTCCCAAATCAAAATAGAAGTTCTTGTCTTAATCAAGCACAGACCTGATCAATTGCGGATGGGTTTCTGTAGTAGTGGAAGGTTGAAACCAGAATGGCTAGGGCATGGACATGGTTAACACTAACACTAAATTGATCTTGCAGCATCCTAGCCCTTTGCTCACAGAGGCTACCCAGAACCTCTCTCCTCCTAACTTTATTATCAGCATCCATACCATTGTAGATGGACCAACTGAATAGCATCATCAGCATGATCCACAGCAGCAGAAACTTTGGGAGCCAAGCTCTTTTAGCCTGAATGAAAGTGTATTTTCTTTTACTCCCGTTTGCTCATGGAACCTCAAAGCCACAGGATGGTGCTGGCTCTGCATCTTGATACCCATCAGCCACAAACCTTCGATGTTTAGTTTACTTCTTCCCCTCTCGTCCTCTTCATCTCTACGTTTAAAGAACGACCAATAAAACCAGTGAGTGCTTTTATAGGAACAAGGTTTTCATACTACTGGCAAAATCTTAGGCACTTTTCTCTGGTGGTAGAGGAGAAAAAGTTACGGACCACACCTCACAGTAAAGCATCATTAAAGCATTGATTTGCGTGATTCAAACCTAAGAAAGGAGAAGCACAGGCACACCAAACATGATGAAGGATTTGCTCAAATTATTCTGACTCTGTTTCTCACCCTTTCCTAAGAAGCTAAGCGCATTTCAATACTGGCAAAGAAAAGAAAGACATCTCAGACGAGAGACCACAATTAAAAAGAAAGAAATTCTCAAAGCTCAGAGAGACAAGCATGGGTCTCAAAAGATGGAAAACAGCTCAATTTTCAAAGAGCCACCTATACCCAGATATTGGCTTGTTGTTAGACTTTATGAGTGTAAAGGGTCAGATTAAAAAACTCGGGCGAACACTAATCATGCTGTGCAAGCGTGAAATTGGTCTTGGTAGGCTCAAATACAAAGAACAGCCACGTTCACCCTCTTTCTTCCATATAATAATCAAAACCAAAGATTGGCCTTAAAAAAAACACACATACACACACCCCCACCAGCGAAGCACTCACTCAAACCCCAAAAGAGAGAGAAAGAGAGCGACAGAGCCGTCGAGAGAAACAATGTTTTTACCTGTACAGAAAAGAGAAGGTGAGGATACAATGAACAATATGAACCAGTTTGGTTCGTCCTTGATCTGAGGCTCTCTAGTTGTACAACCCGAATTTTTTATGCGCTTTTATGCTATGCTTTCTTGTTTCTTCCTTTATTTTAAGCAGATAAGGAAACTAAATCGAATTTTTAGGATTTTCTGTGATACGCTCTTGTCTCCCTCCTACATCACAAAACCAGTATAGCAGCCTACTCTTCCTCTCTCTCTCTCTCACGCGCGCTTGTCAAACTCTCTCTCCTTTGAAGTCTCGCCCTCTTTCTTTTCTCTCCCTCTCTGCGGCGCCTTGTTTGCACTATACTAATGCATTCACACCAACACTATCTCCTCTTAGAAATCAGTCATTTTCAGAGCTCAAGTTCAACTTGGAAACTCCCACGCATTCAAAGAAATAGGTTCAGAAGAAAAAAGAAAAGCATACTGGGTCTCTCTCTTCACTGCTCAAGACTGAAAAGATCCTTCTTTTTTTCGTTTCTCACTTCTATTGTGAATCTGCCCAATTTCCCACTAGTGTGCAACCTGAATCATTTTTCTCACCGGTGTCTTCCTCACACTATCTGAACTCCCTCTCACTCTCTCTCTAAATTCAGGAACCAGAAGTTTGGAGCAGAGTAGAGGGGGAAGAGAGAGAGGAAATTGAAAAACTGAAAATCGCCATCACAAATCTCTCCGATAGTGACATGGCGACAAGGCGCGGATCTTATTCCCGCGTGAATTACCAAAAGAGCCATTTTTGTTGCTGGAATTCCATTAATATCCTGCTCGAGCGATAGTAATTAATTTATCGCCAGTTTTAATTAATAATCGATAGTAGATTAGTTGGCATGTCAATGGTTTTGCTGCGCCTCTTAATTCAAATAAATTTTAATCAATGCCATGTGAAGGCCTTCTAGCTTCTAAATGCCCCACAAGACTACTGTTCAAACAGTTAATTTAGTTTTTCTTTTGTTTTCTTGCCAGTTAGTTAGTTATATTAGTTAACTACTCTTATCAGACCAAATTAACTTACGACTTGGAACAGGGTTTTGGATTGGTTCCTGGAAAGTTTTTAAAAATAAAATGAAATCGATTTTAGATTGAAAGGAAAAATAAAAAATATATAAATAAAAAAAAGAACATTAATTACTTACTTCAAAAATCCAAGTTCCGTGTCAACTCTAACGTTTACTACTTATTATCCTTTCATATTTACATGTAAAATTAATTGATTCTGTTATTTTGAGATCTATTTTCAACTTTTTCCAAAAATAAAAGATAGATATTAACTCTGAAAGGTGATGACGTTGATTAAACTCACTTTAATATTTATTGATTGAGATTAACGTTGAGGGGATTATTAAATATTAACTGTCTCAGTCAAGAAGGAAACTAGTATAAATGCGCCCCATGTGCAACCAAATGTTCAGTGTTTAAGATAATACCCGCAAATTTTAAGCTGCTTTCTTCTGTCCTAAATATAAAAGCTACTCCTTTGATTCTATTTACAGGATAAAGAGAAAAAATATTTTTTATCCTATTTATAGGATATTAAGAGAAATTTTTTATATAGATATACTCCTCCGGTCCTTAATATAAGACCCATTTAACTAATTTGATTAGATTAAGGAAGTTAGGTAAGTTAGTTAATTATAAGAAAAGTGACGTTTTTCCTAAAACACCATAATCATCTTTCTTAACACCTCATTTTCCCTCTTCTACTTGATTGTGGTTGAGGGAGTATCCATAGGGGTAATTTAGAGAAAATTGATAAATATAAGAAATGGGTCTTATATTTAGGACCAGAACTAACTCAAGAATTGGGTCTTATATTAAGGACCGGAGGAGTACAATTTTATATTTTATTTATTATTATGTTGATATTGTTCACATATGGTATAATGTATATTGAATAAAGATAAAATTAGAAACTTTTTTAATTTTAAATGAGAATTAATAAAGTTTAAAGTTTTTCTTGGCATGTGTAAAGCATGTTGAAAGTGACTTATAAATAGGATCAAAAGAGTAGGTGACTAATTTGAAGATATTAAGAAAATAAGTTAAGGTAGTTATTTGTAATAAATAGATATTTTTCCTAAAATATTCTTACTAATCAAATATATTGACTAGAACTACTATTATTAAAATGACTACCTTGGAAAAAAAATACATAAATAATATAAGAGACAAAATAAATTGAAGTCTTATATTTAGAACCAAAATAAAAATCAAACGAAATCTTATATTAAGGATAGAAGTAGTATTAAATAGCTTATATTGCATCAAAAATTATTTCACTACAATAACTTTATTCGATAATTGTATAATTATTTCTCATATTCTCTCCCATCATGAGATTAAAAAAAAATAATGAAAATAAAACTACAAAATAGTAAAAAAATATCTTTTTAAAAAGTCTACAGAAAGCATCATTTTGAAGCTTTATAAGTTATCTTTGAAAATAATACACCATTCTCATATCATTGGTCGAAACAATGTTAGAAAAAACGTCATGGAAAATTACCTTTCTTGTGATTCGGTTTATTAATATTTAAAAAGAGAAAATTTGAGAAAAATTATCATTAGAAAATCTCAAATAAAGTATTCTCATAAAAATGTGTTGTTATTTACAAATTAAGTAGGATAAAAACCTGTTATAGTATTGTAACAAATCTTGATTTAGGATTTAGTAATTTTCAAGATTTTTATTTGTTATTCTCCCTTAAAAGTTTTACTATTAAAAATCACTTAAATCAAAATATCAGCATTATGTGAATAAAAAGCCTGCAGGGTATTATATTTAATGTTAATATTTTCCTAGTCAGACATCAATTTTTTAAATAATAAGAACAAAATTACTACGATTTTATGTTTTGGTGATAAATTTATTCAAAAAAAAAAATTTGAGTACCCAGCACTTTAAAAATAAAATTAATAAAATGGAAACAGTAGTGGCCCGTGAACATGCTGGGGTGGGGTACGATGGTACCCGCGCTCATCAAATTCCAGGTCAACTTTCTGCAGTGAACAAGTGCTTCACGTTAACGGTTAAATGCAAGAACAAATTCCATGCATTGTATTTGTCATTTTTTGTTTCCGCAATTTGTATTTTATCTGTTTAAACCAATGTTTTGCAAATTATAAATTTGTAAATAAAGGGTTTTCCCACCTCAATGTAGCAAGTCAGCCACGTATAATCATGTGAATATCAATACGGACGGACCAAATAAAGCAATACTTTTCTTTCAAATTTTGTTCATTTTTGCCAAATTATACTTATTTTTCAAATTTCAATTATACTTAAAAAGTAATTATGTGTGCCCCAACAATGTGTGCTGCCATGTGGGCGTAATTCATATATATATTTATTTATTTTTTTCATTTTGACATATGCATTGATTCAACTCCCATGTGGCTCCTTTACTAATTAATCCCATTCACACACACATATGTATTAACAGATTCCATGGCACTAATTGAAGAAGCCGTGATTAAAATAAAAGAGACACTACCTGCGGTTCTAATTATAAGAACCAATTAGCTGATTTGAAGAGATTAAGGAAGTAAATTATGTTAGTTATTTGTCATTAATAGGTGTTGTCTTTCCTAAAATATCCTTACTAATCAATTATATTGACTATAATTATCATTGTTAGAAGAACTACTTCAAAAAAAATGTATAAATATGAGAGACAAAGTGAATTGGGGTTTTATATTTATGGCTAAAATAAAAGTCAAACAGAATTTTATATTAAGGACCGGAGATAGTATTAATTAATATTGTCCAAACTCATCCTCAAATCCATGCTTCCTTCCGGCTGGTGTGCGTGTGATTAAGAAGATTATATATTATTATGAACACAAACAAATATAATTAATGAAAGTGATTAAATTAAAATGCAGAGTTTATTAGGCGGTGGAAACAGAGGAGGGAAGGCATGAAGGGAGAGAAAATTGTGGGAACTGGATGAATGGAATCTGAGGGGAAATAATGTTTGCTTAAAAAAGTTGCGACTTTGTAAAAACACTGAAAATGGGTGGCTATATAGCCTTTTGGTGAGGCGAGGGGGTCTGTGCAGTTTCTATGTGGAGCATGTCGGCCATGTGTCGCCCCATCACAACAACACAATCATCCATGTCCCTCCTTTCTTTCATCTAATTTACTAATACTAATAAAATTACCTGAATTAATTATTTGCAAAACAAAAATAACCCGGCAAAAATTTTTTTTATAAAAATATATATTGATTTTTAAAAAAATACTTCGTTAATTATCTGTATTGGAAGTGGAAGATATGTCCTTCTTCATAGAAAACCCCACTTCAATCCTTCAATTTAGTGTGTACGAGGGAGTTGCTATATCCCTCCTCCCGACCAAAAGGATTAATATGTAAATTTATTTTGAATATTTAAAATTATAGTAATATTGTCTTAAAAATATCAATGATGCTTCACCAGAAAGAAAAATTTATATTTCTTGATCAAATCTGCATCTTAATGTAAAAAAATTGTATGGCTTAAGACATTTCCTACTTACTCCTCAGTTAACAATCTCATAATAAAAAAGATACAAAGTAATAATTAAATTCTGATTTAATCTATATTCTAATTACATGAAAGGAATCCCGATTAAAATAAGTCGTGCCATCAAGAATGGACCTGAAATCCAACGCTTATATTGATAACCAAGCAAGCTTCCCCGCAATTTAGATGAGGAAGGAGAAGATGATGATGATGATTAGCGTATAAATATGTCCGTACAATAGGTTAATTAAATTACACATTAATTACGATTCACTCGTATCATCAGATGGATTAGACGAAGCACTGATCGGGTCGAAGATGGAATCGTCTTGCAGAACATCGTATGTTATTCTCTCCATTGATGTCAAAAAGGTTAATTGTCGTTGCATATCATATGTCCTCAGACCAGCCTTTTTTAAAAAAAATTTTGTCATTATTGGAATATATATGTCCACTCAAATGATCCTCTAGAGATCTCACAGGTGAAAAAGTGAGAAATGAAATGCCATACGGTGCAACATATTCTCTGCGGTAATAATTACGGCG